GGGAGCGGCCACTGCACTCGTCTGGGCGACAGAGTGAGACTCCAACTCAAAAAAAAAAAATAAAATAAAATGCTTATTGCAATGGGATTACCTTAATAGAGGTTGTTGATACTTCTTCATGAAATCAGATGTATTTATTCTCACATGTTCAAGGGAGAAAAGGTCAAATATATTCTACTTATGCAAATCTTTGTGTTTTAACATATGACTGATATTCAATTTGCACCGAACTGGCAATGTGAAAGGAATATATTGAACAATGAAGACTTTTAATTTTGAAAAAGCATCATAATTCATGAGCAAATGAATTTTATGAGCATAGTGAAGAGGATATGGACACAAAGGGAAATAACCAGAAAAAGGAATGATTTTGAATGTAGGGGTGTGACGTGCTGCAGCCCCTTTAATATCATTGTTGACATAGTGAGTTTTAATGAATTCTACTGCATTGTGTTGCCAGATGATAGATAGCACGTACACATCTGATAACCTTTGACATGATGGGCTGCAGAGTTTTAGCATGAAGTTTCAGGAAATTGAATCACCTTCTGAAAAATGTGATTCCGCTATTGTTGGCTTATGCTTTTGCAAATCGTCTTAATTGGGGTCCGCATTAAACACTTTTAGAATTGCATTTAAAATAATTAAGTTGCTTAATACAAAGAGAGGCTTTTGGATTTGAGAATTAAAACAAATGCCTACTGATATGTATTTCGTGCTGCTTGCACTGAATCGCTTTGGTGGCTCATATTCACGGGACTGTCCAGTTTCTCCTGGTCTCACCTGTATCTTGCATTGCTGGCCATTCAAAAACAAGGCTATTTTCCTGAAGCTAACCCTTCAAAATGATGACTAGACATTCTCATTTAGCTAATTGGTACTTTTTCTTCATTTGGACTTTCCTTCTATCATGTGTTGACTCATAGCCTATGGCAGGGTATGATCTTAGAAAAGGGAAGGAGACAACTAGAACTTTAAGTAAAACAATTTGAATTACTCAGTTAATAAAATAAATGTAACAAGTTGGTATACGAGAAACATATTTATAAAGTCCTGTATTCTCAGTGTTGTTAAAAGTTTTAAATATGAATGGGATCAAATGATGTATATGTATAATATATATTTCCAGCCAGTCATTGGATTTGGAAGATGATAGTGACTTAATATGTTTGATGATGGGCCACTCATCATCTGAAACACCAGAGAAAGTCAGGACAAGGTGTTTTTCAGTGTATGGCGAGAAACTCCGCTGGGGAAGTCAAGACACAATGCTATTCTCAGATACTCCAATTTTCTGGGCAAATTTCATTTTCTGCATGAACTTAGTGTAAGCACATCAGTTTTCCATTAGTTATTTACACTAGAAAGTGACCTTTTATTGCTTTTTTAGAGTATGCAATACTTCAAAGTGAAATAATTGCCTCTGGCCGTGATTTTTCTTATCTTGCTATAGAGAAACTTGCATTTTTTCTCTCGAAGCATGTTTTAATTTTCTCTTGGCTTAATTCTTTTCCAGTACAGCACATACATATTGCACAGACTTTGCAATATCCATTTTGATTCCCCAAACAGCTTTCCAGCATCCCAAGGCAGAGTGAACCAGTGGTACCTAGGCAGGAGTATTATCCTTTTCAGAAATTCATTCAATCATTCACTCACCATAAATTCATTCAATAAATATTTATTGAATGCCCACTGAGTTAGCTGTTGAGGATGGCATGGTTAACTACCATGCTCTTCAACTTTCCAGGGGCTTTGCTTTGTTATAATTTCAATGGCTTGTATAAAGCCAGACTCAATGACTGTGACACATGTTTACTGACAACATTTTGAGGTGATGGAAATACATTGTCACTCACCTTACTGAGCCTATAGTCTATTAGATGATAACCTTAATTCAACAAAAATGATGAGTTTTATGATGTGTAGGAGAGAAGATAGAGGCATGAAAGAGAGTTGTGTGCTGGTAAATGTTTAAAAGCTGGCTTTGGGGAGAGAGAAGTCATGATTTGCAGCATTTGCCAAATTCTGTGGTATAAACGATCCCACCATGCCAATTCCTAGTTACCAACATGACATCACTGAATGTGGAGTTGAGGAGAGATGTGCAGAATCTCACCATAATATAATATTTCCACCAAGCAAACACAGTAGGCATAATAACTTCAAGATTGGTAATAGTAAAATGTGGGACGATAATTAGAAGTGGTAAATTGCAGTATTTGTTAACTTTGATATTAATAAAATATATTTGATTGATGTGTTTATTAATTTAACTTTTAATAATGACTATGCTTAACAGTCAGCTTGCAGAATATCACAATTTTGACAACTGGTTCTCTAGAATCAGTTCAGCCCACCCCAACAGATAGGAGAGTCTTGGAAGTAGCCATGGAGAGTTATGTTCATCCAGTCATCTCCGGAAACAGTGACCTCTGTGCTAAAAGCAAGGACAAGGGGCAGAACGCCACATAGGTGGGACTGGAATATTATTTTAGGAGAAAAGACAGCGTAGACCGGGACCCATTCACGGGATGCAAATTCTGGAGGTAAGATGAAGGGCTGGGAATAACATGGGGCTTGGTGAAGTGTAAGACAGGCTCATTCCTGACTCCTCTGAGAGTGATTGATACTGTTTTTCTTCTGGAAAGATGTCTCTCGTGTCAGTCCCGAGAACAAACAGGAGGGTGTGGGGAGACAGGGACGTAAGCAAGTTATTGCCATGAGGCAGAAGAGACTTGGTAGCAGTGTGGGCAGGGTAGTGGCAAAACACCTGGAGAAAACTGCTCTGAATCAAGAGTTACACCAGAAGAAAAAGATGCTAGCGTTAGGGATTGATTGAGATGGGAATTTCTCTCATAGTCCCCAAGTAATTTCTAGTTTACGAACCTGCTGTTACTAGTTTCTTCCAAAGCCTCCTCTTCCACCTCTAGGTCAAGTCTGACCCTACACATGGGAGCTTTCTTACTTTGACTTTGGGGATACCACGTTCTCTTGATCCTTCCCTAACATACTCGATCCTTCTTTAAATCTCTTCTTTCTTCCTAAAATGTGGTTTTCCTTATAGCCTTTTTCTCTTTCTCTCTCTCTAGTCTGCCCTGCCCTAATCATACTTTTTCCCTCCTTTATCTGAGAGCTCCCTGAATTTTAGCACAATTCCTAAATATTAGGCTTTAATACTTCATATAAAACTCCTAATTTTTATTGCTGATGTCTTTCTGATATTTGGATCAGCATTGCCATTTCTTTTTTTTTTTTTGAGTTGGAGTCTCACTGTCGTCCTGACTGGAGTGTAGTGGCTGCTCCTGGCCACCGCAGACTTGCCCTACTGGGCTCCAGCAATCCTTCTGCCTCAGCCTTCCAGTAGCTGGAACTACAGGCACGTGCTACCACCCCCGGCTAAATTTTTGATTTATTGTAGAGATGAGGTCTCGCCAAGTTGCCCGGGCGGGTCTCGAACCAGCGGGCTCAGGCAATCCACTCACCTCAGCCTCCCAAAGTGCGGGATTACAGGCTGAGCCACCGAGCCCGGCTTCTTGCTTGTTTTCACATGTAAATCTTTACATCCCTTGGACATATTTACCTGCAAAACCCACTTCATCCTATGTTCGTTATCGCTACTGATACTATTACTATCCTTCAGTAAACTCAGATTTATCCTCTTGCTAATTTTTCTTCCTCAGTTCTCTAAAAAATATTTCCAAGAGGTATCAGATTATTTTCTTTTCTCATTTCCGCTGCCATTGACTTCAGAAACATTTCTTATTTCAATGATCATAATAGCTTTTCCTTCTCTCCTGTCAGATGTCCTCCTAAGCACTTGACACCTGACTCCAAGATAATTCTTCCCCAGATATATCGTACTTTTACAGATTACGAGATAGGACCCCCAAAAAGCCAGAGTTATTTTTTGGAGGGCGGGCCCCTTGTACTAGGTGGGTGTTCTAGGAATCCACCAGCATCAGTCTACCATCTAGCATTGTGGTGAGAGGCTGCGTTCAGCTTCAGTGAATTTTTTGGGAGATTCTTTCAATGCATTTGACCATTTTATGGTGGGTGATTTACTAGCACACCTGTCCACACTGCATTGAGTATTCAGCAGTTTTTGATTAAAAAAAAAACTGCATGGCTACCATGCCCTACCATCCCTACTCAACCCATCTTGCCCGAAGTGACATTTCCCCGTATAAAAAAAGTTCTCAAAGGGAAACATTTTGCCCATGTAGAAGTGGTGAAACAAGAAACAACAGAAGCATTAGAATGCAACCCATGTGACAAGTTCAAAAGTTGTTTTGAGCAGTGGAAAAAGCATCTCGATAGGTGTATTGCATCAAGCAGATAGTACGTTGAAAGTGACTGAAGTTTAAACATGTAAGAATAAATATACAATTTGTATAAATAAATTCCATTTTTTGGAGCCTCTCATATATGCTTTGTCCTCTGTCCTTGTACTTAGAGTATCAACATACAAGGAAAGGAGTGTGTTTTGTGTGTCTCTATATGTTTCCAACATCTAGCATTTTACTAATATACTTAAGACATTAACTGCTGTCAAAAATTGAATTAAATCTTCCTTGCCTAATTACATCAAATCAATTACTTTACTCCAGAGTATGTTCATCTCAGAAATTGAGTTGTCCTCCAAACTTAGACTCAAATCATTAGGCATTTTAATACCTAATTTCTGCTTGAGATTAAAAGATAGAACTCTTTTGAATTAGGATGCATGGAACACCTTATATGGTAGTCTAAATTTTCTATTTAATGAATACTTGATGAATCAATTTGTGATAAATTTAGCTGAGAGTAATGAAAACCCTTGACTAGACATAGTTTGAATGCGTATTGTATATGCGTGTTTGTGTGTGCACATGTGTTTTGATTCTATGCCGCAGTAGCACAGGTAGGTCTGCACATAGCTGCCACATTACCCCAATGAGCTAATGCCATCTTTCTTTGTATTGTTCAATCTTTTGTATGCTGGCCTCTCTGTCCTCATAATTGCTACCTCTTTGTCGCTAAGTCATTCCTGCAACTCCCAAATTTATGCCTGAATTTCAGATAGCCAACAAACAGGAGGAAGTGCAATGACTAGTTAGATTTTGCTTTTTTGTTTATTTTATTCCTAGGGACATGTGCCTATGCCTCACTGGTAGAACTATATTTAAAAATGGTAAGTATCTTTAAATGGCAATATTCAAACCTGTCACCCCTAAAATAAATATTTGGTGGGAATATTGCAAAATCTTGCATTTATACCAAATCCACATTTAATTTGTTTTATTTAATCTTGGAGAATTTAATGTGTGCATATAATAGTATACAGGTGTTTTGAAAACGACAATAATCATTTTTTTTTTTTTTTTTTTGAGTTGGAGTCTCACTCAGTCGCCCAGACTGGAGTGCAGTGGCCGCTCCCGGCCACCGCAGCCTCGACCTGCCGGGCTCCGGTGATCCTTCCGCCTCAGCCTTCCGAGTAGCTGGAATTACAGGCACGCGCTACCACGCCTGGCTGATTTTTTGATTTATTGTAGAGATGAGGTCTCGCTGCCCAGGCGGGTCTCGAACCCGCGGGCTCAGGCAATCCACTCACCTCAGCCTCCCAAAGGAGCGGGATGACAGGTTGAGCCACCGAGCCGGCTGACAATAATCTTAAAGCCACACAGCAGAATAAATACACCTTCCTAACAGCAACTGGCTGTAATTTGTTTTATTTCTCTCTCACCCTTAGCCAAAGCTAGCTTTGTGATCCAGTCCCAGGGCACAGAGGTTTTAATTGGCACAAGCATAACTTGGGAATGTATGGCCACTCACACGCCCATATTACTTGGACCAGAGACCATGGAGAGGAGCTGGATGGATCCAGGCACGCGGCACCTTCCAGTGGCCTTTACCTGTAGAACATCACATGGCAGGATCACGGGCGACTGACTTGTCACGCCAGCAATAGCCAAGGCTCTGTTCAAGTTGCAGCAAACATCATTGCACAAAGTGTGAGAACAGAAGAGTTATTATTGAGATGTTCCTCCTGCCACCTCAGAAAATTATTTTTCAACTTAAATAATGCCAGGTACGTCAGTGAAGAGGTATTTCCATTTGCCCATTGTTATTTTTTTATACAATAGAATTTTCAAAACTAATCTGCTTCAAGGTAAAAGTTGGATTTTTTCCCACACTTCAATCTTTATCCAAAGGTCAGAAACAACTATTAGCAACAAAAGAGATGAAGTCATTAGTCTGCAAACGCGCTGTCAGAAGATATTTGTGCTTCAGAATATTTTACAGATACAGGAAAGAAGCTCCAGATACAAAAGTGGAAAGGCTGGGGCTAGGTCTGGTGTCAGACTCGACATAACTCGAAGATACGCTGAGAGCTCTTACACGTAGCCAGGCTGTGTAAAAGCTGCAATGATAAAGCTATTTGAATCCAGAAAATAATTTATATGCATGGGCATGCAATCGTGTTGTAAGGAAGATACATTCTCTTGTTACTATTTAATTGCTAACCTGGGCTGCCCCTACCTTTCTGCTCTGTGTGTGTGTGTGTGTGTGTGTGTGTGTGTGTGTACGTGCACACATGTGCGTGGTCACATGTATGCCATCCGCCTGCTGGGTTTAGAGTTGACAGCAGAATGTAATTGTTATTGGAGTGGTTGCCAAAAGTCCTGTTCTAGCTAAAACAGTTTCTCATCAATTGACAAGACACAGTAATTTACAACGATCCATCGTAAGGCCTTCTGGCACCAGGATTAGTTTAATTAAGTTAAGAAGTGCATAGGATGCTATCTATGAAAACACTGGACCTTGAGCAATATGAAATAAAGGCAATTTAGAATTGTGGAAGCGACCAGCTTCCTGCAGGGCCTGAGTTGGGAGAACTTTTGGGCAGTGAGCCCCGGCTGCTCCAAGAGTGATCTTAAACCCGCCAAAGGCACAGAACTTCATGTAGCCTAGGTTTCCTGAATCCAGAAAATGTTTTATGAATCGACTGGTTTAGCACCAACTCCTTACGTAACCATAGACCAATAATTTCTTGTTCCTATTGACATGTCTGAGGAAAAATTGTGTTTTTCCTTAGAACCGTTAATATCATGAAAACACTTTCCTTCCTCTAGGCAGAAGATGAAGACATAATTTTTTTTTTTCTTGAGGACTTTGGTAGTTCCTGGGGGAAATTACTTTTAAAGGACCCTAACGTTGTTTTCAAACTTTTAATGTGGTGGGATTGAAAAATGCTTTCAAAAAAGGTGGTGTTTGGGTTTTGTTTTGTTTGAATCAATTTATGTTTAGGGTCTTATTTTTTTAGAAATGCAATGCCTAATCAAACTTTCTCACTTCAGCTGTCTCCTGAACCTCACACCATGCTAGTCTTTAGTTTTCAGCCTCTTGTGTGTAGTTCTTATTCAATTGAGGCTGAACTAAACTCTGACAGCATTAATGGTCCTGCTTGTTTTGTGTACCATGATATGCTAATGATTTGTTTTTACCAGCCATTTTGCACTGAAATCACCATCTGTTTATCCTTTGTCATCTGTAACTGTGTCCTTGTGTCATTTGTGGATCGGTGTGTCCAGATTTTTAATTGGTCTTGAAGTGGTCCATTAATCATTCTATACACTTATAAAAGAGGCATATGCGATTTGCCTAGTCGTAGATTATATATTTTAAGATGTACCCCCTTCTGTGTCATTTTAAGAGCTGGTCTATCAATTTTCTTTAGTTCTTTTAATGTCCACTTAAACCAAGATTCACAATTACCCACAGATAAACTTCCTTCTCTAAACTGGCTGAAGTAAATGATAAATTGAATGACAACTCCCCAAAAGCTTCAATGAAAGATACGAATCACTGTGAGAATGCCGAGGTGAAAAGGCCTACTATGGTCATCCACAGTGTAATCAAAATGCTTTCTGTAGAAGATATCACAGACATGAGTAGTTAGAAGGATAGATTTTTGTGAAATAGCAAAGCATTTCAGCTCATCCCCTGCTATTTATACATTGGAGGTATGACTCAAAGGGCCACCATTTTAAATGGAAGGCCCAGAAACATCAACCTTATTTTTGACATCTAATTCCTCTACTCCACTGCCTGTCTTGCTCAGGTCTTTTTGGCTTTCTCCCCATCTGAGCACAGTTTTTCCCTTGAGCTAGCAAGGCCATTTTAGTGTTAGAAACACATGTGGTCTGACAACTTACCAATGTTTTTCTATTATTTGCTGGGATAGGGAATCTTTTCTTTTTTATGAGAACATTAAAGAAAACAATGCTTTTTACTCAGATTTGCCTAGCTGAATTTAAACTTTAATAAAAAGTTACAATCACATTTCCCAACATTGGAACTCTGACTAAATTATTTCTCTTTACTGTTGCCAACTTTTATTACATAGTTCTTTTCGTGTGTCATGAATTCATTTTTTTAATGTAGAAATATTTTTATTCTTTTAAAATCTTTCCTAGTAATTTTAGCAGTTAGCACTAATGTTGTGGAAAGAACGTCAGGCTGGGAGTTGAATGGCCTAAATTCTCTACTACCTCTTTGACTTAGTAGCTTTGGTAGGATTTTTTTTTTTTTAAGTCTGAATTTCCTCATTTGTGCAGGGAAGAACCTGAGTCTGCTGATCTGTGGGCTGTATTCCAACCTGTTTTTTCTTGAACTCTATTATAAATAACTTATAGTCATTCCGGTAAGGGGTTTCATGAATTTGTGTGACTTTGTAAGTAATCTTATACCATAGTTATTTGGTCTAGCCCCTTAGAAATGGTGAAGAACTTAAAAAAAATCTTTATTACCAGCGCACAGCATAGAACTTGCAACAAATACCTGTTGCCAAATATTATTTACTTTATCATATTTCTTGTATTTCAGATGGGAGGTGGAAGCAAGGGATGGTAAGAATTGTGCAAAGATCTAGCAATACAGAGAAATAACTTGTCAAGGTATCTGGGAACGTTCTTTCCATCACTTAGGTATGATCAGAGATCAATGTGCCTTTCTTAAGTGGTCACATTGATTTATGTTTTATTTAATCAAAGGCTCATTAACAGAATCCCTCTCTAGAAACTGTTTTTGTAGCTCTTAGCTGTACGTTATACAAAACCAATTATACAGGATATGAATATTTGGAACTCTGAATTTTGGCATAAATGTGACTTTTTCAAAAACATAATTTCACGTATTATAGGAACGTTCATCTTTAAGAGGCATATTTTTCTGTCAAAAAAAAATGAAGCAACTTGTTTCAAGTTTTAGTCTGTATGTGAAAATTTGAAAAGAAATCCTATTTTGTTAATGATTCCAATATGATTTGTAGTTTTAAATATGTTTATCACAGTTGGTAAAATGATAACTGACAGGACTTAAGCATATAAAACAGCTGCCATAAGATTTAGAAATAATTTCTTCTTATTGGCTACTGCTTTTCTGCTTTGCAGATATGATGTGTATATTTCTGGTTTTCTTGCAATCAGGAGCAGACCTCCACAGGCACTTACACTTGCTTCGTATCCTTGGTGATAAATAAGTGAAAACAAATTCTAATCACACAGTGTATTTTTAACATATTTTCTTTTTTCTCTTGGCATTAAAAATGATAAAGTAATTTTCAATTGTAATACGCTTTTCCATTCTCTTTGGCTCCTCTACAATTTACAATAAGCTCCAAGAATCAAGTGATGCTAGAACAATGTGCTGTAGCGTTGCTTTGTGAAGCTGAGGGCAGCCCACCTCTGGTGATTGTCTGGACAAAAGCAGGTATTAGCACATCTACAAGTAAATGTGGGAAGAAATAGGCACCCTCTCTTGTGAAGAGTAAAATAAAATCGTTTAAATTAATTATCAAAGCTATTATCAGGGACATGAAAACACCACACAGAAAGTAATCTTTGATTTAAATATGACACCATCATAATTTTTGTAATGTTTGGAGTTCCAGCATTTGAGTGTGTGGACTTCCTAAGAATATTCTCTCTAGGACTTATCTTCTAATTTTTAAAATGAAATTATTGGAAAGTTCAGCAGTTAAAATTTAAAAAAAACCTCTTTTGTGACAAAATGAAATCATAAATGCAGTACAATTCTAAGTGAAGCTCCGACGTATTAAACATCCATGAAGCTTGCAAAAGAGAGCTTTCCTTATGTCCTTTAAGTGTAAGGTGGGTGGGCCATGGGTCTGGCAGACAGGACCTGCCTGTCCCTGACTAAAAGAGACTAGGCATTTCCAGGGAACTCAGGTATGTTACAGAAAAGCTTTGACAATAGGGTGGATGAAAGTGTTTCTCTGATACCTCTGGGCTTGGAAACCCTAACATCTTTATTAGTTCAGGTACTAGATTAAATTCAAAACACATCAACATGTATGGATGTCTTTGGCTGAAATTTTTGCTGTAATCTTTGTGAGATAAGAGAAGTGCATCCCAGTTGGTCGGGGGTGAACTTTGGAGCCACAAAACCACATTCACGTCGCTACCCCATCATTTACTGGTGTGTGAACTTGGGCAAAAGAATACTACTTTTTTTTTTTAACCAGATTCTCATCTTTTTACTGAGGCTGATGATTTTATCTGCATCATAAGGTGGTTGTGGGAAGTGATTTGAATATATTTATTCTCTTCGACATTTAAAACAGTAGCTGGAACGTTGTGTGCACATGTCATAAATGTTAGCTGTCATTTTTTCCATCTGTAACGAGACATTCCATAAGACACAAGTCTTTCTCTGAACTACTTGAGCGTGATAATATCCTTTAACTGTTGGTGATTGAACGGAACAAAGTGTTAAGAAGGATATCCAGAGATTCCTATAAGCTCAGGGGTGAGAAGCACACAACGATAACATGGGTTTGGCTGTGAGGCTTGTTAGCATGAATGTCACAAAATCACCATTCTTAATATGCTGCCTCAGCACTTAAATATTGTATTTTAATAATGTCTTTTTATTCCATATATTGCATACACGTGATCAACAGATGTTTCAGAGATATTTGAAAACTGTATGTAGGCATCAGATTGGTTTCCCAATTTGTATTCTGGTTGTGGTAAGACCGAGAAGGGCACACATGAAGGTGGGGGAATTCGTCAGGAGGCCGAGCTGTTTTCATGGTGACAGGTGATACAGTTCCTTGCAATACAGTGGCCGAGTTGGGGGGTCACCTCCATGTTCTGGAGCTGCAATGCTAAGGGGGAGTCCTCATAGGAACCCAACATCAAGAATTTCCTGGAACACAGATCTTAGTCTTTACCCGGGATAGTTACACGGCTCTGGCTTTCAGCTCTTTGGGTCTTAAGTACTCTCTTTGCAGGAGGACAGCTCCCTCTGGAAGGCCGGCATGGGAGTCTCCCCTCTGGCCTTTTGAGAATGGACCACACAGCACAGCACGGTCAAGGCCAATATGAATGTCAAGCAGTCAGTCCACTTGGGGTGAAAAAAGCATCTGTCCAGCCGACTATAAAGCCCAGAGGTAATACTTGCTCTGATTCATTTTAATATCCTGAAAGGAGCCCCTCTTTCTGTGTCTTTGACACACCCGGCAGGAACCTTATGACACACACACACACACACACACACACACACACACGTGTGCGCGCATACACAATTTTATAGGATGTCATAAGTTGCGCATTTGATAACTTCTTCCAATCAATCTTTTATATAACTTTATTTTTGTGTTAACATTTTTTTCTAACAATACTAATGCGATAATGTTTTCTTTTAAAAAATGCCATTTCAAGCCGGGCTCGGTGGCTCAGCCTGTAATCCCGCGCCTTTGGGAGGCTGAGGTGAGTGGATTGCCTGAGCCCGCGGGTTCGAGACCCGCCTGGGCAGCGAGACCTCATCTCTACAATAAATCAAAAAATCAGCCGGGCGTGGTAGTGCATGCCTGTAATTCCGGCTACTCGGAAGGCTGAGGCGGAAGGATCGCCAGAGCCCAGCAGGTCGAGGCTGCGGTGGCCGGAAGCGGCCACTGCACTCCAGTCTGGGTGACAGAGTGAGACTTCCACTCAAAAAAAAAAAAAAAAAAAGCCATTTCAGATTTTCTTATACCTTTTTTTTGCATTTACAGTAATTAATTTGCCTTACCTGCATAAACTGTCTTACGAAAGAATACAGTTTCTCGTGTCTGATGGGCTCAGTCTCACTCTTACACTGATGCCTATTTCATGCTCAGGGTAATGGGGATTAGAGTGTGAACATTCTCCTTCAGACTCCTCATGTGACTGATGTACTTAGGTGCAGTGAACAGTACATATTCAGGAATGAGATTATGTTGATTGTCTGTAACTTACTGTCAACTTAGATATAAAAAGAGAAAATTCAAGGTTTAAGATTTTAACGAAAATTCTAACGCAAAAATGAAGAAATGGTTGTTATTAACTAACACTGAAATTTCTTTTTAGTTCCTAGCTTACATTTTTAAGAAAATTCTTATGTAAAAATGGAAAAATGGTTGCTATTAACCAATACTGAAATTTCTTCTTAGTTCCTGGCTTATGTTGAAATGATGGAACTTGGTTACAAAATATATAACATCTAAATTGCATAAATTCCATAACAGCACTGCCTTACATTTCAATATAATTTTCTGTTTGTTCACAAATTTGCTATAACTTATTCTTATGTATAGATCTAAACTCAGAGGCAAAGTATTTAGAGAAAAGCATGCGAGAAGGAGGAGCAAAGCTCAGCCATATGTAGCAGCATAGGTGTGGGAAGAAACTTTGGTCATGCTGAAGTGCTCTTTTTTTAAGTGCTTTATTTTTTTATTTATATTTCAAGGATGTGGAGTACAATGCTGAAGTGTTCTTGATGCCTGAATGTAGACTAGAGACTACACTGAGCTACTATCTATGTGTGGCCTATTGTCAATTACTTTTCACTATGTTGTGGACATACAAAATACTTACTTTTTATGGAATTTGAGACTCTATGAGGGGAGAAGGAATTACAAGGAGGGTGTGCAAATAACAAGTCAAATGGGTGGGAAGATGGTCTGTAGACGGTTTCAAGCTACTTTTGAATTGGTGTTCAACTAAAATCCAAAAATTAGTGATTTTTTACATTTGTATTTTTGAAAATGAAAAAAATTCAACCTGTACATTTAAATCAAAGCACATGCAGTGCGAGGATGCTAAAGAGACATCTTAATTTTGCCCCATTGACAAATTCTTCACTTGCTTCTGTTGATCCTTCAGTTCTCAATACGGAAGCCACCTCACTTCCCTAAGGAGGATTCCTCAATTCTTTAAGACACTGTAGGTTGTTTCTGTTGGAATTAATATTATAATATACCATGCAGTCTAATAGTTGACAGATGCAGAGGAATTTGAGACATCTCTAAATATCCATAGCTGAGAAAATATCACGAGCGATAGGCCTGAACGTGGAAACAAACACGTATTTTAGAGAATGAAGACCCCAAATTGTGGCACCAGACTGTGTGAATGGTGAGGGTGAAGACCACACGGAAAGAGTGAATAGGATAGATTGGAGTTGAGAGACACTAAAAGTAAGAAACCACAGGAGCTATGAAGAAAGTCAAGTGATATGTTATGAAACCTAACCTAGGATCAAAATGGTGGGAATGGAAGAGTGAACAAATTCAAAAATAAGTATACCAAGAGGAATCATTTTGTCTCTGGGATTCTGAACAACCAATTTCCCCCCCCTAAAACCTGTTATTAATGATACTTTGCTGAGTTTTCATCTCTTTCCTGCAAGGAATTGGCTTACATAACATTATTAGTGCATATTGCATAAGTTTTCATGAAATTTATATGCTATGACAACCTCATTTTGCCTAAGGTGTTTCAGCATTGAATTTCCTTATGGCATTATGTGTTCTTTTACTATGGAGATTTAAATATTATTTTGTTTAAGGAATGTTCTCTTGAATGAATTCTTTTGATGCTCCTTGTGTATCATTTTTTTTAAAAAAAGCAAGATTTGAGAGGACAGAAAAGTTCCCATAGTGGGAGGGGATCTGAAGGGGTTGCCCCATTTTTTTGTTTTGGTGGGGAATTCCTACATTTTGCATATATTGTAATGCTTCTCAAAGTGTGTGCTGTGGATTGCTAGTGGCAAGGAACCCCAGACTCTTTCAGGGGCTTTCCTAGGTCAAAACTATGTCGTCACAATATCAAGATGTTATTTGTCCTCTCGCTGTGCTGATATTTGCACTGATGGTGCAAAGGTCATTGTGGGTAAAACTGCTGGAACCTCGGCCAGAACCAAGGTAATGGACAAAGGTACACATGCTCATTATACTTGTTGCTTGCAGTGGGGGAAATAAAGGTAATTTTACTTTAGAATATCATTGATGAAGCAGGAAAATATTTTACGTTGACTAAATCTTAACCTTTGAGCACATATCTTTTTAGTAGTATGTGTGAGTGAGGAAACTGGCAAAAGAAACTGCCAATAGTCAAATTTTGGCATGATACTAAATGACTTTTGTAATAATCTGAAAATCTTTAGAAAATACTTCCATTTTCTATTTTCCAAGTATTCATCCTCATAAAGTAAATTTTTTATATACTTCAACCAAAACAACTAATTGTAGGAGATTCAATTCAAAAACAGTTATTTTATTATTGAGATTTGTAATCAATCCTACTATACTCATGACTTTTATTTTTTAGAAAATATAGTTAATTTTAATTAAAATTTTTATTTTAAAGATGTGGGATACAATTCAGGATTAGGTATACAAGTGGTGATCATACAGGTAAAGTTTGGACCTCCCTTTGGTCCCCCCTTCAACTGGTTTGGGATCAGATTCCCTTAATGATGTCATATGCTGCCCCGCCCCCACCCCTGGTAGTTTCTGGCTACTGCCAAGCCCTTTCTTATAGTACTATGGGTCCACTTATGAGTGAGAACATGTGGTGTTCAGTTCTTTGTTTCTGTGATAGATCACTGAGTATGATAGACTCTAAAACCATCCAAGTTGCTGTAAAGTCCATAAGTTTGTCCTTCTTTAGGGGTGTGTAATAGCCTATCATGTATATATACCACATTTTTACAAAATCCAGTCCAGTTTTGATGGGCAGCTGAGACCAAGATGTGTGAGAGTCACTCATTTGTTGATCATCTTTGCCTGATTTCTAGCTCTCATTTTGCTTTTCAATCTTGTTTAGCTCTTTATTTTCAGGTCATTTTGTTTGTTTTTCTCATGTCTACTCTCATGTCCCTTACGTGTTTTTGACAGCGTGTTTTCACTGTAAAGAGCTGTCTAACCTTTAACTATGCAGTGATTTTATTTTTGCCTCTATATTTTTCTTAATTATATGCAAATATTTATAAACAATGAATAAAACTAGTAATTTTTATATAAGATATAATTAATTAAAACATCCCAGAAGAGATAGAACTCTAAACAGAATTTTCCAGAAAGAATATAAATTGCTAGGAGTCAGAGCAGAACAGGTACTCCAATATTACTCTCTGGCATAGCTGCACAGGCTGTTAATTACTTTGTGCATTAAACTTGTAAAAGAATTACCTCTAGTAAAACCATGTCATTGGAGGCTTTCCCAGGAAAAACTATCCATCCTTTAAATAACATTCCCAATGCTATTTAAGTTGCTTTAAGGATTAGAAAATAATGAGTGCTATAAAAATTTTTTAAAAGCAAGCATAATCTTGATAGTAAAATTCTAAGAATCATCAAAAATAAAAAAGCAAACCTAGTTCACATTTCTATTTTAAAAGTCCATGAATAAAAATAAATAAATATAATCATAAATCATAAAGAATCCAGTAGCACATTAAAAACATTAATGACATTTGTTACAGAAATTCAAGGATGGAACAATAGTAGGAAAGCAATTAATATATTGTATCATATTAATGGATTTATGGAGAAAAATTATGATTCTTTTCATAGATACAAAAGAGACATTTCTTAGATTCAACACTCAACATTTATTCTCATTAAAAACTAATAGCATAGGTCTGAATAGACATTTCTTCAACATGATAAAATAGATCTACTGAACTCATTAGCTGGAGTTTTGCTTGATAGAGAAATGATATAGTATTTTCATTAAATAAATGAACAGACCAAGAGTTTCCACTCTTTTTTATGAGTTGGAGTCTCACTCTGTTGCCCAGACTGGAGTGCAGTGGCCACTCCCGGCCACCGCAGCCTCGACCTGCTGGGCTCCGGTGATCCTTCCACCTCAGCCTTCCAAGTAGCTGGAACTACAGGCGTGCACTACCATGCCCAGCTAATTTTTGATTTATTGTAAAGATGAGGTCTCATCAAGTTGCCCAGGCGGGTCTTGAACCCGCGGACTCAGACAATCCACTCACCTCGGCCTCCCAAAATGCTGAGATTACAGGCTGAGCCACCGAGCCCAGCCCGAGTTTCCACTCTTAATGTTGTCATTCAGTGTAGGTTTAGATTGACAAATCATTAAAATGAACTTAAAGACACAGAAATAATAACCAAAAAATTTTGAAAAAAATGACCAGAATTAAGGAGGACTGATATTACTAAATAATAAAACACATAATAAACCCATAGTAATAAAATATAGTACCTACATGGTATATTAAAACACATTATGCAATCTACCAATGTAGTTAATTTCACCTAGGACTGTGATGAGTGAAATAGATGGCAGTTTCTCTCAGTGAAGAATATATAGCAATTCAATAATCAAAGATTTGAGAGTAACTCAGTAGACATATGAAAAGTGACTTTGAGTCCATTTCTTCCCAGTGATGATACAGAAGAAAGTAAGGGGGCGATAGCCTCTGATTAGAGACTAGTGGCATGGTGGCCTCTCTTTCTGTTGCTGCTTAGTCTTTCCTGGACATGGGAATACTTTGCAGGGCCAGCTCTCCAACACTCATGTATGTGTTGTTCAGAAACCATACTGACATACTCTCTCGACTCTGCTCTATGACATGGGAGACCCTGATCCATTCTTTCTCCTTTCAGTCAATCTTATCTCTTCTTACAGCTGATCTGTTCTACAGCCCCAGCTAATACAGTATTCTCACTTGGACTGTTCTGGAAGGTATTACCTGAAAGATAAACTGCCATCTTCTATGGAAATTACTCACTATCAGGCAAATGATCTATCTGTCCAGTGATACTAGTGAACTTCAAAAAGTTCATGGAAAACGTGTATTATTAAAAAGCTATGTGTGGATTTCAAAATTTGTTTGGATTAAAATAAACTCATACTAACTTGTTATAACATGTGTAAACAGTATCTAGTTTGTGTTACTAAGAAGGATAAGACATCAGTTTGAAAGCAGCCCTTATCAGAGCAACATGAATTCAGCTAAAATTGAGGCAAGAACAAACATCACATTTATGGTGAAGCTTGAATACAAGAAAGGTGAAATTTTTGATGCTTCATGAAAAGTTTATGGAAACAATCCCCAAAGAAATCAGCAGTTTACAAATGGATAATCTGTTTTAAGAAGAAACAAAATGATGTTGAAGATGAAACCTGCAGTGACAGACTCCCACATTAATTTGCAAGGAAAACATTAATCTTATTTGTGCCTTAACTGAAGTAACTAATGATTAACAGCAGAAAAAAATAACCAACATCATAGACATCACAATGAGTTCAGCTTACACAATTCTGACTAAAAAAATTAAAGTTGAGTGAACTTTCCACTCAGTGGGCACCAAAACTGTTGTAGCCAGATCAACTGCTGACAAGATCAAAGCTTTCAGTGGAAATTTTAAACATGTGGAATCAAGATCCTGAAGAGTTTTTTTCAAAGAATTGAAACAAGAGATAGAACTTTACTTCATCAGTACAATCCTGAAGACAAAACACAATCAAAGCAGTGGCTACCAAGAGGTGAAAGGGGTTCAATCAAAGCAAAAGCAGATGGATCAAGAACAGAGTCATGGCAAAGTTTTTTGGGATGCTCAAGGCATTTTGATTGTTGGTTTTCTGGAGGGGGGCCAAGGAATAACATCTGCTTATCATGAGCATATTTTGAGAAAGTTAGCCAAAGCTTTAGTACAAAAATGTTTGGGAAAGCCCAACAGAGAGTCCTTCCCAACCATCATGACAACATTCTTCATTCCTCTCATCAAATGAGAATTTTGTGAATTTCCATGGGAAATCACTTGGTATCCACCTTACAGTCTTGATTTGCCTCCTTCTGACTTCTTTTTGTTTCTTAATCTTAAAAATGTTTTAAAGGCCACCCATTTTTCTTTAGTTAATGATGTAAAAAAGATTATATTGACATCATTAAATTCCCAGGACCCTAGTTATTTAGGGATCAACTAAATGGCTGGCATCATTGTTTGTAGAAGTATCTTGAACTTGTTGAAGCTTGTGTTGAGAAATAAAGTTCATATTTTTCAAGTAAAAAATATTGTTAATTTCATATTCCATAAACTGAAGTCCTCTTACATTTTACCAAGCTGCTCTATCTCTCAGCTTTGCCATTCCTCTCAAGTTCTCTTTGCTGATGTTCACATCTATCATATCATCAAGTCTATTGAATAAGCACATGTCTAGTTAGGGAATTAAATGCAAGTCTCCCCTTCTGTTGCTGCTGACTTTCAGTTTTATAGGAGGCAATTCTTTTTTCAATATCCAAGAGAATGAAACATTTCTTCCCCTAAGCACCCCAAGGACATGGAGCCCTGTTTTCCAGATTCACTCACAGTCACTTGGTAGTGGTTGGACAGATTCTGGCTCTGCTTAGTTAGCCCCGCAGGGACAAACTGGCACAACCCCTCTGGCCTCCCTGTCACATCTCACCCATCTCTCTTTGTCTTAGCTCCTTTGCAGCAATTCTGGAATGACTGGAAAAGTCCTTTGACACCCTTTATCTGTTTTCAAACCCTCTCTGTTCTCTGGTACACTTTTCTGTGGCTCTATTCTGACTCAAAGATGTAACTTCCTTCTGAAATAGATACTTCAGTCATTGTTTTAAATTGAAAATGTTAAATTAAATATTGAATAAATGCACAGGGCCAGTAAGGGCAGTGTGCTGTGAACTATGTAGAGTGGCTGAGGATAGCTGAAGTGTAGAATAGTTTTCATGGCTGATGTGGACTCATTCATGATATTTCATCAGTAATATCCCCAGGGGTCTTTGTCAGTGAATTATTTATTCCTATCATCTATTTGTGAAGATAATTTTCCTTAATTAAAAAAATTCCAAAAGTTATTTAAAAGAAATTTAATTTGCTTATTTTAGTCATACTACCAGGTTGCAAAGACACCTCTTCATTCTTGACTGTGTCATCCTGTGTAATTATTTGCTATTCCAAATATTTTGCATCCAAACACAAACTGATAACAGCTTTGTGTGTTTGTTTGTCCTTGTCGTAGATAAAATGTGGAAAGAACAGAACTCTACCACTAATATTTCTTGGGTGTAGATATTCAATCATTATAAATATTTTTTAAAGAGCCCTTTTCCATCCTACATTTTAACTCTGTGTCTGTAACATGAAAATGTGTAGAATGTTTACTACAATAAAAACATGTTACATCTATGACAAATTGATTTGTCTTATGTTTGACCATAATTCTGTGATGCAGTTTTCTTATTTTACTCAGTCGATGATTAGAATTTTTGGGGAATAATACCAATGTTACTTATTTGCAGTGTTCAGAACATACTGGAAGTTTTAATTTCTTAATTCTAGTGTACTTTAACTTTCCTATTTCCTATTTCTCAAGAGTTCCAAAGATTATTAGCAAACATTCTGGAGCCATTTCTTGCATGGGATGAAATATATATTTTAATGTTTGTTGAGCACCAATTGTGTGGCACCATTATTTTACTCACTGGTGATTTAACAGTAAAGACAACAGAAAAATACTAGTTCTCTCAAAGAAGATGTCCTTCCTCTGAGGGGAAAGAAAATGAAATAACTATAGTGTATTCCAGAGAGTGTTGAGTGTGATGAAGAAGCCAAGAAAGGCATGGGGCCAGAAAAGGATATTAGGACGTGTCATTTAGAGAGCATGGTCGAGGAGGTCTCTAGAAGGATGTGACATTTGAGCAGAGCTGAGCAAAGTGACAGTTAGAGAAAAGACAAATTGCTTACAGCAATTAAACTAACAACAGGTTTCGTGTCAGCAGCAACAGAAGTCAGAAGATGTTGGAATCCACTCTTCAAAGTGTTTCTAGAATAATAACTAACTGTAGGTCTATATTGCACACACATCAAATCTTTCTAGGATAGGAGTGAAATAAAGATATTTTCAGAAAACAAACTGGGAATACAGTATGGTATCCCCATTAAATTATTCAAGAATGAGAGCCAAGTAATACATTTTCAGATGAGCAGAGAGTTTGCCAACCATGATGCTACTCTACAGGAATTTATAGAGATTATGTTTCTTGAAGCAGGAGAAAATTTTGAAATAGTGTCTGAGATTTGCAATGGTGAGCAAAGAAACTGGCAGATATATAGATCATATTAAAATATTTTCTGTGTTCAATAATAAAATTGCAATTATTAAGATATGACATTGAAGAAAATCACATAAATACTGCCTTACAATAGAGTATACGTTGGAAAAATGATCAGTGGGATTGAAGTGTTATACTGTTCTTGTATATCTGAATTGTGTTGATTAATAAGTTGGTTAATCTATTAATCAGGCTTTTAAAAGAATGAATGCCAAAGACACCAAAAATGAATATAAAATAAAAATAAGGCTACAAGAGTCAAGTCAGAAAGGAGGAAACTTGAAATTAGAAAACTAAAAATTAGTTGTTTGAATAAAGAAGCTATAAGAAAGGAGTAAAACAGTCTAGCAATGAATTTACAATCGAATTTAGTAAATGTTCTAAAAGTCAATATAGTCTTTTTTTTTTTTCCGAGTTGGAGTCTCACTCTGTCCCCCAGACTGGAGTGCAGTGGCTGCTCCTGGCCACTGCAGTCTCGACCTGCTGGGCTCCGGAGATCCTTCCGCCTCAGCCTTCCGAGTAGCTGGAATTACAGGAGCACACTACTATGCCCGGCTAATTTTTTGATTTATTGTAGAGATGAGGTCTCGCTGCACAGGTGGGTCTCGAACCCGCCGGCTCAGGCAATCCACTCACCTCAGCATCCCAAAGGTGCGGGATGACAGGCTGAGCCACCGAGCCCAGCTACCAATCTAGTCTTATATAAACTTTTCCAGGAAACAAACCATGGGGTGCATTCCAAATGTAACTAATAAAGGACATGATGAGAAACAAATCTGAATAGTCTGTGCAAAATATTGTCCAATTGAGTACACTGACATTACTAGATAAATAGAGGACAAATCATTTCAATAGATGCAGAGAAAACATTTGATTAAATATATTATCTGTTCATTATTAAGAAAAGATGCTAGAAAATGACATTTTTAAAGGTAAGATGCTACAAATATTCCTTTTAAAATTAGAAAGAAGATTGTATCTACTCAATGTTGTAATGGAAGATCCTAGCCAGTGCAAAAAGGCAAGACATGGAAACAAATGTTATCAAGTTGCAAGAAATACACACATTTTAAATTTATATATGTCAGAATTTTTCTCATACATAATACAAAATTTTATACAGATAAACTGTTAAAGAGTTTTTTGTCTGAGATGGGCGTTCCAAGAGATGAAGTAACTGACTTGAAAGATAATATATGCTTGGAGTTTGTCGTTATTTTGAAATAGGGTCTGTAGTAATAAGGGCAGTTTGTTTCTGACAGACTAGAATTTAGGATTATTCTATTTTTACTCCAGATACTTTGAGGGTGAGATGAAAAGAAAATGGTGAAGAGATGTTGAAAGGAAGGACAATGCAATAAAGAAGTTGAGAGTTTTGGAAGAAAAGGGGTAAAGGTGATAAAACTTGAGATTGTGAGCAAAAGTTCTCTGGAAAGGAATTTGGAAGAAAAGGCCATTATTTTGGTAAACAGTTAGCAAACTGGGGAGACACAGCCTTCAGGGTAAAACAAAGGTGCCGTTCCAGTGAAGGAATAGAAGGTTCAAGTTTTCCAGCAAAAGTTCCCGCTGAGATTCCCAGTTGGGTCCCTTAAAACAAAAGAAGGATAACACTTCCTTAGTTCTGGTTGGTCAAGGCAGCTGAGTTCTGATTGCTTGGTTCAGGTGAGTGCTACCAAGTCCCAAAGTTTAAAAGGTGCAGGTTTTCAGGGAACTCAGAGCATGTGTGCCAACTCTAGTCAGCAAGTGGCTTCTTGTCTCTATTTTCAGCTGAAGGCAGTTAGCCATGCAAGATGCATCTTCAGTGACTGGCCCTTTCAGGTTCAGATCTGTTCACAGAATCATGGCTGAAAAGGGAAGGGAATGAGGCTGGGAGAATGTTCGTCGACAGCGAAGAAGTGGGAGGTCTTAGTAGTCAAGATAAAGTCAAAATGAGGAGATGAAAAGCTTTGCTTTAGATTGTGGAGTTGGATATTTTCAAAATGTTGTAAGTGATGGTGTGGCTCGTGCAAATGACTCTTATGACAGAAGGTGAGAGTGACTGGGCTGAGGAAAATCAGACAATGGAGGTGATGATGTGCAGAGTGAGAGGCTGGAGATTTCTTGGCTGAAGCGGGAGGGTCACTGCATGATAGGCTCGTGCTGGTCCTCATGAGATGTCCACTATGCATCGTCAGTGATCTATAAGCTAGAGTCTCAGCAACCTCAAATATAGGTGCTAACATAAAACATGAGATTTGAATATGTAAGAAAATAGTTTCTCATAAAAACAGAATCCTTTTTTCTGTCAGTAATACATTTCTGATGTTACAATTTTTTTGCAGAGATACAGAAAGACACAAGAAAGATATGATGAAAGCTCTCACTTCCTTAATTGAAGAAATGAACATTATAAATGTGTTCAAAGGCCATGTCAATTCATTTTCTTGTTTATCTTTGCTCAACTGCAACCTTCTTGCCAGTAGTCTGGGTATGATGTTTATGAAATAATATATAACAGTGCATTGCTTAACGAGAGGACTATATTCTGAGAAATGCATCCTTAGGCAGACATCATAAAGTCTGCCTAAGTCTACTT